TTTATTCCAAATCAGTTATCTTTAGGTTGCAATTATGAAGAGTGACATGGTGTGCTCTTTTGATTGGTCACAGTCTCCTTTAGCTCTATAGTATTGATTTGACTTTATTTTCAAATCTTGATCGGAGCGACAGGAAAAGCTTATGAAACACATCCAATCCTGTCTTCTGTCATAGCATTTATGATGATTTCCCGCATCGGAATCCAAACTTGATACATTCCCAGAAGTTTCGCCGACATCTTCAGTGAGAGGCGCCATCCTTAGCAGACGTGCAACTTACTAAAGTGGCGAATGAAGGCAATCCCTTCGACCACTCTTGTGGCATCACTTCTCGTCCCTATTTTATGTACTTCCTTTGGTGCTGCATCTTTTTCTCACAGCCCCATTTATCGCAAATTTGCCCCTTCACATAATTCTGTGTTCTCCTTTACTCCAATGTTGCATAATCGCCTTCACTGGTTCCAAATGCCGTTCGCAGAGAACTTTTGATCTGATAGGTCTACGAAGATAATAGTGCGGTTGTGGATAAAAGGTTGAAATTAAGTCTAGTAAACTTCTTATACCCAAGGCTATGCATAATTATCCCCTATTTATTCCTGTTTCTTATTCAAAGCAAAAAACTGAAGTTGAAAATTCAATGTCTATATACGTGTAATCGGAGATATGAAGACCTGGATGGTGCGTCCTTTTTTATGGTTGTGGTCTTATTTCGTTTTATATAAGTTGTTTGACCCTATTTTCGCAACTTGGTCATATTGGCAAGAAGGAACTCACCGTGTCCGTAGTCCATAGTATGCATGATAATTTCCAAATTCGCACCGTGGACTTGGTACATTCCCAGGCTATTTTTCGACATTGCAGTCAGTATCGTCAGTGAGCCTTGCCATTTTTAGCACCACACCCCAATTCGTCAGAGGCAAGTGGACTCTTTGATTTTTGCTAAACAGTTATGGTTTATGTCATGGGCTATTCTCCTCTTCTATATCCTCATAGCGTCCTTTAAATATCACAATTTCAAACTTTTTTATCTAAGCCTATTTGAAAACTATTCAAACTCCCTGCTTGTTTCCACATCCCTCCTACTGGGTTTGGAGTGCTGATCCAAGGCTGCGGTTTAATTCTCAACCTTCTCCTTTCGGCTCCTATCAGAGTCCTCCTCTTGCTCCGTAAGATACTACCCTTATTCAGGCTTGTATTGCTTTTATCCAAGTACTTTATCTTTAATTTAATGTTTCAACTCACTTAAACTATGCCATCTGAATATATCTCAAAATCTAAAATAATATATACTGAATATTATTATATTTATTTTTTAACAGCTTCAAGATCTACAAATGGCCGAAGACATGGTCTCTTTTTTCTCGGTACCTCATGATACTAATCCTCAGAGCTTGGCTCGATACTTCGCCAACCAAGAATCGTCCAATTCAAAAATAGACCCGGCAGCTTGCCATGGTGCGGTAGCTGAACATGCAGACGCAGGCGGCGCCACACCGACTTGTCTATCTTCTCGACACGCTGATCGACTCTGCTCCCATCTGACCTCTGACCATAACCTATGGTTTCTGTGTAGCATGCTTAATTGGCAAAACTATCAGGGTTCCTCTTATGGCAGTAACGGAAGTGGCCTTCTGGTTGACATGCCGAATGGGATTGTTGATGCTGTGCGCGACTGCGTCAACTCGGACGGCGAACCACGGTTGATCGCATACGCTCAGCTTCAGCGCCTAGCAACTGAATTAGTTAATTCTAATCCTATGCCCTTTGGATGATAAAACCTACAACCGGTATATTTAGGGCATCTGCTTACAACGCCTTCACCACTGATATCACAAGTACTAATGGAATATATGGGTAAACAACGAAATTCCACTACCGGCCTCATCCTTTTCTGTGTTTTTAAATTTTGTATAAGCATACAAGAAATTAATTCAAATGTAATACTGTCTGCCGGGCAGGCTGAAGGGCAAGTTTTGCGATACGCACAAGAGCACATTAGCAAGGTAGATAACACGAGCTGCCGCTCTCAGGCTGCTATCCAAACCAACTCGAGACACTAAAACAAGGCGAATTTTTCCCCGCTTTCTTTCTTACTTATTATACAATACACCGCATATGCAAACGTATCCAAAATCCTTACACAATATGAATTTAGAAAGCTGCGTTCTTGAGCTGGCTAAATTAATCTTCTAGGTAACATCATGCACAATCTTCCTTCGTCATTTAATCACATCAGAAAACGCATTTTGATTATACAATCTGGCGCTACCAAAACGACATTTAACGGCTGTGCTAACGACTTATTTCTTTGGGCCTTTTAAACTACAACTTTGTTAAAAAAAATTTATACATTCAATTAAAAATGTTGGTTTGCTCAAAACTGATTATCCCTATCTCTGCTTTACCACAGAATAATCTCGTTAAACCAAGTTACGGTGAGATTCGTATTCCCCAGTCGGACAAAGTAAGGCTTAAGCCGCTATTTTTACATTGCATATATTGTGATTTTAACATAACACCACTCGCTT